ATAGAGCCTAAATAGCCCAACACCAGGCGATCTGTCCATATGAGTACTCCGATTAGCAGATGATGTCGATTGAATAAGGCGTATCTCTTGATAGATGTTGTACTGAGTCGAGGCTGTCTCCTTATCTAAACAGGGCGCTTATTACATACGCTGACACCCTATAGTTTGAGGAACACTCTTTCATCGTCAGGTCAATGGTGGGTCATCACCTAATTGTGGTTGAAGAGAGAACAAACTGTTGGGTTGATGTTTCTTCATGTCCGTCTTCTTGTTTTGTGATTGCTATGTGTGATTGATATCATTTCAATTGCATCCGTGTCTTGATTGATTGATGATGATGATGATGATGATTATGATGACGAGAATAACATCCATATATGGATATAGTACGAAACGGAAACAAGCATCCGGAATGTTAGATGTATAACAGCAATTTATATATAATCTCCACGATCATTTATGGTCTTACGAAGTGTTCTCTGGCGCTTATCTGAGTAAATCTGGGCCTCCTGAAGGGCCGCAGAAAGAAAAAGAAAAGCAGTGCAGATTCCCTGTATTGTAGCACCAGCTAGTGCCCTGTAGTCCCACACACTCCATAGCACAGAGTAATGATAGCTTTGGGCACCTGCTTTCCATCGATTGATTTCACTTCCAATACCTAGATAGTCACAAACATTTGCTATTTCTCCTTCAACATATCAAACTACATAATGATAAATCAATATTGGACTTTGATAGCTTCCTAGGTATGACACAGCCATGAGATACATGAGTGAAATTTTGCACAAGGATCGGACCATTCTTTCAAGATACTGCGCATCCAAATAAATTAACAAATTAACAAGTCTTACCACTGACGACACCAACCCCTCCTCCCCACCGCTTTCCCATCCACATTCGACGAGTATCGGTGTACACGATATTGTCCATTATATCTGTTTGATACCTACAGTCAAATCTATTGATTTCCCTTTGAAGTGATATATCTCCTTCACAAATTTTGCCCGGGTATCGATAATCAGGGTGTCGAGCATCATCCTGTCAATCTTCGAGATGCAAGCCCCGATGATATCAGCGCCTCTTAAGGCAACCAACGAAATCGACTGGATACAGCCGTTGAAGAATTACATCAGACAGACGTATGGTGACGACCCGGAACGATATGCGGAGGAATGTGCTACCTTGAACCGCTTGCGACAGGATATGCGAGGAGCAGGGAAGGACAGTGCTGCCGGAAGGGACCTCCTCTACAGATATTATGGACAGCTGGAACTATTAGACCTGCGATTCCCGGTCGATGAGAATCACATCAAAATCTCCTTTACTTGGTAAGGTTTCAATCAAATGAGGGGCATCGGAATCCTGCTAACAATGTTGCCAGGTTCGATGCATTTACACACAAAGCCACTGCACAATATTCTTTGGCGTACGAAAAAGCTTCGATCATATTCAACATTTCTGCCGTACTGTCATGTCACGCAGCGCATCAAAACCGATCGGAGGACTCGGGTCTGAAAACTGCATATCATTCTTTCCAAGCATCTGCCGGCATGTTCACTTATATTAATGAGAACTTTCTCCATGCACCATCTACGGACTTAAGTCGAGATACGGTTAAGACTCTGATTCAGATTATGCTTGCTCAAGGCCAGGAAGTGTTTCTCGAAAAGCAAATTGCCGATGGTAAGAAGGTTGGACTATTAGCAAAACTTGCTAGCCAAGCAGGCTATTTGTATTCTCAGGCGCTTGAAGGAACCCAGGACAACGTGAATAAGGCCATATTTGAAAAGGTCTGGCTTCTAGTGGTACAAGTAGGTGCTTTCAATCTTTTTCGCTTTTATGGGGCACACTTCGACCATAGTGGTGATCAAATAGCAAATTCGTACTAACGCAAATAGATCAAAGCAAATTACATGTCATCTCTAGCTCAGTATTATCAGGCTCTTGCGGATGATGATGCAAATTCACATGGTGTGGCTATTGCACGATTACAGGCAGCAGAAATATCATCTAAGGATGCCAGTAAACTTGCAAACAGTTTCCCTGGAAATGTGCCCGTCAATTCAAACTTCACATCAGAGACAGGCACAACCTTGATAGAAATTAACAGGCGTCATCTTACCAATGTCCAGGAAAAACTTGCTGAGCTTATCAAGGATAATGACTATATCTATCACCAGACTGTACCAGCCGAAGCGGCTCTCACTGTGATCCCAAAACTTCCTGCTGCTAAAGCGATACCAGTTAGCGAACTCTATGCTGGTCAAGATATTCAACGTATCACGGGACCTGACATCTTCCAAAAGATAGTGCCTATGTCTGTGACAGAATCAGCTAGCTTATACGATGAAGAAAAGGCTAAACTGGTACGGGCGGAGACGGAACGTGTAGAAACTGCCAACAGTGAGATGGCTGCAAGTCTTGATTATCTCAGATTACCCGGAGCGTTACAAGTTCTTAAGGGTGGTTTTGATCAAGAGCTAAGCGGAGGCGAAGATTTCAGGAACTGGTGCGACGACTTAGCTGGGCATGTCTCCCCAATGTCAACTTTTGATTCTTTGAAATCTAGCAAAGAAGCTATAGTTTCAATATTGGAAAAGAGCAGCAAACAGTTGGATATGGAGGAGAGTGTCTGTGAGAAAATGCGATCAAAGTATGAAGGAGAGTGGACTCAACAACCGAGTTCTCGGCTCACATCTACACTTCGAAACGATATACGAAACTATCGCGAAGCTCTTGAGGAGGCTGCTCGCAGTGATAATCAGCTTTACTCGAAGATATGCCAGCATGAAGTTGACTTTGACGAAATGCGCTCTGCTGGTGAACTCGGCGAGTCTGATGTGCTTTTTCAAAGAGCGTTGATTCAGGTCGGTGGAAAGTCGAGAAACGCTGCCGGTAGTCCCGGCACACGTGAAGGAAATCTATTAGATGATGATTTCGATGATGGGAAAAATAGTGTCGCAGACCAGATAGCCAAGGTTGAGGATATACTCAAGAAACTGAATCTAGTCAAACGGGAAAGGTCGCAAGTTTTGAAAGATCTGAAAGAAAAGGTTCGTTGCAAGCTTCACATCTAGGTTTCTTTTCGCTAATCACTAAACAGGCGCATAACGATGATATATCTCACGTTCTCATCCTCAACAAAAAAGGCATCTCAAATTATGAGAATCAGCTTTTCCAAGCAGAGCTTGAGAAGTACCGACCCCATCAGAGTCGTTTGTTGTCTGCGAATCACAAACAGTCATCACTAATGAAGGAACTCACACTTACATTCAACGATCTTCTGCAAGACAAGAGAGTCCGATCTGAGCAGAGCAAGTATGAGACCATAACCCGTCAACGATCATCAGTAATGTCGAAGTATAAGCGGATTCATCAAGAATATCTTGATCTACAAGCAGGTCTCGAAGGTGCTAAACAGTGGTATGCCGAAATGAAGGATACTGTTAATAGCCTTGATAAGAATGTCGAAACATTTGTCAACAATCGTAGGTCAGAAGGCGCTCAGCTTTTAAATCAAATCGAGCAAGATCGGGCTAGCAATGCAAATGGGCATGCGGATAGGGAGCGTGAACGTCTTAGGGGATTGATGGAACGCATGTCTATGGACCCATCGACCTCGCCAACTTCAAGCAAACCTCCTCGTAGGGGATCTAATGCGTATAGTAACACATCTCCATCGACAAGGTACCCAAGTACAAACTTTGCGGGACAGTACCAGGTACCAACATCGCCACCTCCACAAACTACGACTGCACCCCCTGCACGTGGCTCTATACCAGCCTCTACCAATGGAGGATATTACCCTCAACAACAACCTCAGAGAGCCGACCCATACAGTTCAGCTCCTGGAAGATCCTCGCCATATGGACAATACAATCCAAGCACACATTCGCGCAATCCGTCCCAGCCCCTCTCACCTCCACCAAACCAGAGCCAATTCCCACGTTCACCCCCACCACAGCAAACTCAATTTCAACAGAATCAACATCCATACGCGACAATGGCACCGCAACAACAAGGGCAATATGTACCAGCTGGCTATGTACCTCCACCTCCACCACCTGGGCCGCCACCTCTTGGCCCTCAACAAACATATCATCAACCTAGTGGCTCTATGACAGGTCAAAATGATTATGGATATGGAAACAGTGCTACTTCTCATCAACGTGGTCAATCACAGCAAAGTGCGAACGATCCTTGGGCTGGGCTTAATGCATGGAAGTGAGTAATGTAGAGTCTATAGGGGCGTTTTCAGTCACAGGATGAGCGGATCACTCAGGGAATTACACCTTGGCTTATGGGGGACATGGCGCCGAGGAGGAAGGAATGAGTAAATGAAGAATGTGATACCAATTCATTGCGGCAATGGCACGGAGGAAGGCAGAAAATGTATTTATATCCAATCTCAGAACCGTCTGGTCTACTTGATAGTCTAATAGCCATCACGTAAGCAATTTTGCAAAAGCATACACAGAGCACCGCTTGTAGCCAGTTTATCAAAACGTGGCCGAAATATGGTAAAGACTACAATTGTTTAGAACCCCATGAGATAGGAATACCGTTACATGAACATTATGAACATTCAAGTTGATAAATGAATTACGTAGTCATTTTCCTCATAATTTAATAATGAGGTATGAGAGAGTTGATTAAATTTAGTATTGACTGAATCTTTAATTTAACTAGTACAGATTTTGAGGGGGTCTCGAGGGGGGGTAATTCAGGCCCGCCGGATTACGTTTATCCGAAGTTCGGGTTACCGATATTGCCGATGGGCTTAGAAAGCACCTTCGAATGTCATGACGAGCAGATAGTGGTGGTAGGGAAGCTCATAGAATAATTGTCACCGTCTACGATTTACCATTGCCATCCACATCAAACCATTTTTTCACGTTCTAAATCAGCGGTTTTTATTCTTTTCTAGTATACAATTTAAAGATTCTTTTGTCTTCTGTATTCTATTTCTTAATTATCCATTCACTCCATATACCAAAGCTATGCTTTACGGCCAAAACCTACCGTGGCGGATTGCGCTTCGAAATGTAACCATTAAACAAAATACGGAAGTTTCGAGTACGGTTTTGAGGAGGACAATCAGAAAGTATCATGGCAGAACCGCACAATCGTCGGTCTCTTTACGATCTCGTTTCATTCAGTCAGGTCTCGGTGGCGTCGCGAGGTTTTCAACAGCTCCTGCTCTGCGAAAAGATATCCCGAAAGACTTGTTCAATCAAGCAGAAATAACATCTGCGGAAGAGAAGAAGGAGAAAAAGGCAAAGGCTAAGGCTGAATCAGTTGAGAAAGTCAGTGGCGAGAAAGAAATAGAAACCAAGAGCAAGACAGGCGAAGCAACTTCTTCTGGTAGTAACACTTCTTCTGGAAGTGCGGCTGATGGGAAAGGAAGCAGTGCCGGTGGTGCAGGGGATTCTGGCAATAATGATGGCGGAAAGAAAAGTCGCAAAGGAGCTTCGGAAAAGGCTTTACAAAAAGCTATGGTTCCAGAGGTATATCCACAAGTGATGGCAATTCCAATCACCAAGAGACCTCTATTCCCTGGATTCTACAAGGCTGTCACTGTGCGAGATCCCAATGTTGTAGCTGCCATTCAGGATATGATGAAGAGGGGCCAGCCATACATTGGAGCTTTCTTGTTCAAGGACGACAACATGGATAAAGATGTCATTGAGAATATTGATGACGTACATGATGTTGGAGTTTTCGCACAAATTACTAGCGCTTTTCCTGTTCACGGAGATGATTCTGCTTTGACTGCGGTACTTTATCCACATCGTCGAATTAAGATGTCCGCTCTCATCAGTCCTGAGCGTGAGAACACGGACGCAAGTAAGACTGAAGGCACGCAAGCTGAACCACCTGTTCCCGAGATCATACCTCCAAAGGTTACAAAGGAGGAATCTTCTGAGAAGAAGGGTGATGTTGTAGCTAGCTTTGAAGAAGGAACGGTGACGCAGAAAACTTCAGAGCGACCTGTATTGCCATACGAGCCAATATCGTTCTTACGCAAATACCCAGTCAGTCTGGCAAACGTGGAGAATCTGACCGAAGAGTCATATGATCCTAAAAGCCCCATAATCCGTGCTGTTACAAATGAAATTGTAAATGTGTTCAAGGAAGTGGCAACTCTCAACAGTCTCTTCCGAGATCAAATCTCCACATTTTCGATGAGTCAGTCATCGGGCAATGTTATGTCGGAGCCTGGGAAACTTGCGGATTTCGCTGCGGCTGTTTCTGCTGGTGAAGTCTCCGAGCTTCAAGATGTGCTTGAAACTCTCAATATTGAGGAGAGATTACAAAAGGGTTTGACTGTCTTGAAGAAGGAGTTGATGAATGCTCAGTTGCAATCTAAAATTTCAAAAGATGTTGAGAACAAGATTCAAAAGCGTCAACGCGAGTACTACTTGATGGAACAGTTGAAGGGTATTCGTAGAGAGCTTGGTATTGAGTCTGATGGTAAAGATAAGCTAGTTGAGAAATTCAAGGAGAAGGCAGCCAAGCTTGCGATGCCGGAAGTAGTCAGGAAAGTCTTTGACGAGGAGATCAACAAATTAGCACATCTTGAACCAGCTGCGTCTGAGTTTAATGTCACAAGAAATTACTTGGATTGGTTGACGCAAATCCCATGGGGTCAACGCAGTGCAGAAAACTTTGGAATCAACAATGCTATGACCGTACTTGACGAAGATCACCACGGTTTGAAGGATGTGAAAGATCGCATCTTGGAATTCATCGCGGTTGGCAAACTGAGAGGTACCGTAGAGGGTAAAATCTTATGTTTCGTTGGTCCTCCTGGTGTCGGTAAGACAAGTATTGGTAAGAGTATTGCCAGAGCTCTCAACCGTCAATACTACAGATTCAGTGTGGGAGGTCTCACAGATGTCGCGGAAATCAAGGGTCACAGAAGAACATATGTTGGCGCACTTCCCTGGAAGAATTATTCAGGCGCTAAAGAAAATGTCAAAACTGAAAATCCATTGATTCTGATGATGGATTGATAAGATTGGTAGAGGTCATCAAGGTGATCCAGCATCTGCACTTTTGGAATTACTGGATCCTGAACAAAACACCTCGTTCCTCGACCATTATCTTGATGTCCCTGTGGATCTTTCTAAAGTTCTCTTTGTCTGTACAGCCAACATGACTGATACTATTCCTCGTCCTTTACTTGATCGTATGGAGATGATTGAATTGTCAGGATATGTTGCGGATGAAAAGATGGCCATTGCGGAGCGCTATCTTGGACCCGCAGCCAAGGAATTGGCTGGTTTGAAGGAGGTTGATGTTAACCTCAGTAAAGAAGCCATTGAGGAACTCATCAAGTCTTACTGCAGAGAGTCTGGTGTTAGAAATCTCAAGAAACAGATTGAAAAGGTTTACCGTAAATCTGCTTTGAAGATTGTCCAGGACCTTGGAGAGAGTGTTCTTCCTGAAGAAGAAGCCTTGACTGAAGAAGGCAAGGCAGCTCTAGAGGAGTCCAAGAAAGATCAGACTGATGTTAAGGAAACACCTGAAACAATTGAAAAGGAGACTACCGAGGTACCTCGAGTTAGTCTTAAGGTTCCTGATGATGTACATGTCACCATTGGAAAGGATAACCTTAAGGATTACGTGGGTCCACCAGTATTCACATCGGATCGGCTATATGATGTTACACCTCCTGGTGTAGCAATGGGTCTGGCTTGGACACAAATGGGTGGCGCCGCACTATACGTTGAATCCATTCTCGAAAGTGCCTTATCCCCCTCCTCTACCCCTGGTCTCGCTACCACCGGTAATCTCCAGGCTGTCATGAAGGAATCCACCACAATCGCGTATTCCTTTGCTAAATCAGTTATGGCCAAAAACTTCCCTGATAATCATTTCTTCGATAAGGCGAAACTACATCTTCACTGCCCTGAGGGAGCGGTTCCAAAAGATGGACCGAGCGCGGGTATCACGATGGCTACTTCGTTGCTTTCGCTAGCACTGGATAGACCACTTGATCCAACGATTGCTATGACGGGCGAGCTTACTGTTACGGGTAAGGTACTCAGGATTGGAGGATTAAGAGAAAAGACTGTAGCTGCAAGAAGGGCGGGAAGTAAAATGATTATCTTCCCAGATGACAACATGAGTGATTGGTTGGAACTTCCAGCTGTAAGTTTTTCTTCCTTTGTATATCTGATAGTAGGAAAGGAGAAAATGCTAATTTGAGAAATATAGAACATCAAGGATGGAATTGAAGGTAAACCCGCAAAATGGTATTCGGATGTATTTGATCTCGTCTTCCCAAATCTGGATAAAGAGGCTGCGAATGGACTTTGGAAAGATAGATTGGTGAAGACGAAGGGGGAGAAGGATGGAGATGATGAGTGAGGAATTCATTTGCTCTATTGGATTGAAAAATGAAAATAGAAATGGAGATACAGTGTAAACAGTAGAAGAAGAATCTGGTGAAAATTACCGTTGTGGTATTATGGCACTGGTGATATGGGTGCTGGTGTGTGCGTGCTTGAGTGTTGAGCAGAGGTGGATGGGTGGGTGGATAGGTGGGCATTTTTTGGCGTTGGTTGGGAGTTTTGTTTGTTTTAACGATGGCTGGATGAACGGATGGATGGATGGATGGACGGATGGATGGATGGATCTCTACTCTTAAGAATAAAAAAAGGATTTACAAATGGATTTTGAGGGATTAAAGTATGGATGGGTGGGTGAATGGGTGAATGGGATTTGGGGGGAGGGGAGGGAAGGGGAGGGAAAGTCAATGGTAGGGAGGAGAGGGGAAAAGAGGGGGAGGGAAGAGGGTAAAGGTAGATATGGATTGTGCTTTGTGGATTGAGGGGTATATATATGATCTTTTTGTTCATTGACATTTTTTGGTGACTGCGGGGGGAGATAGGGGGAGGGAGAGGGGAAATGGAAATGGAAATGGAAATGGAAATGGAAATGGAAATGGAAATGGAAATGGGAAATGGAAATGGAAATGGAAATGGAAATGGAAATGGAAATGGAAATGGAAATGGAAATGGAATGGAAATGGAAATGGAAATGGAAATGGAAATGGAAATGGAAATGGAAATGGAAATGGAATGGAATGAAAAAGAGTGGGAAGGGGAAAGGGAAAGGAGGGAGGGGAACGGAAGGAGGGTAGATAGTTTAGGTGCGATATAATTGTATTTTTATTTTATTCAATTTTCTCTCTCTCTCTGCGTGTGGTTTATGTGTTTTGGGTATACTGGGTATATATTGAATGAAATGAAGATGAAGATGAACGTGGAAGTGAAAGTGGGAAGTGAAGAGACTTGCGACTTGAGAACATTGAGGCCTTGCGCAATTGAGACATTGAGGACTTGCGAATGACCTTGCGATTGAAGCCAATTGAGAATTGGATAGAATTGAGAATTGAGAAGTAAATTGGACAAATTTATATACTAATTTTTTATAGAATAGTTATTTTTTATTATGATTTTATAGTATTAAGTATTATAGTATTATAGTATATAGTATTATATAGTATCTTCTAGTATTATAGTATTATAGTATTATAGTATTATAGTATTATAGTATTATAGTATTATAGTATTTATGTATTATAGGATTATAGTATTAAGTATTATGTATTAAGCACGTATTATAGTATTATAGTATTATAGTAGTATAGTATTATAGTATGATAGTATCGTATCTAGTATTATAGTATTATAGTATTTACTTTTATTACTATACTATATCGAATTATATCGACTATACTAAGTCATATTGAGTCTGGGGAGTTAGCACTCTAGAGTCTGAAAAAACCTGGAGAAACTCTGAAGAAAATGTATATAATGATGGGATTGTAGATTGATTTTGTTTGATGGTTGAGGGTTGAGAATTGAGGGTTAGTGGTTGAGGGTTGAGAGTTGAGGATTAGATTATAATTGATGGATTATAATTGACGGATTATGGTTGTGGATTATGGATTATGGATTTGATCGATCGATTGATTGATTGATTAGTTGATTGATTGATCGATCGGTTGTTTGTTTATTTGTATATTTGGGTTTTGAATTTGAGTTTGGGTTTTTGAGATTCAAATTTTAATAGTTACTAGGTAGATAGTTGAGGAATGAAATGGAATGGAATTTATATGTTTAGTAGAGAGTTAGATTTTATAGTGAAGTGTTGAGGGAATAGATAGATAGATAGATGAATAAATGAATGAATAGAGATGAATAGATAAATGGAATATAAATAGAGAGAGAGATAGATAGATAGATAGATAGATAAATTTAATTTATTTATAAATAAATCAGTTTTTATATACTAGTATTATATATTAATATTAGATAAGTATTACTTTTATATCTTAATATTAGATTAATATTAGTATTAGCTTTATATATTTTGACTTTTTGATATGAGATGAATAAATAAGTAGATTAGATATTAATAGATGTATAGAGATAGAGATAAAGATAGATGAAGATAGATATAAATCTAGATGATCTGATTTTATAGGAGGGGTTGGTTTTTGATATTGATATTTATCACGGAGGTAATAGCTATGTCTAATGGTCACTTTGATCAGGAGATAGGTAATAGAGTGAGTAATAAACTAAATTGACTTGAGGTGTGATCATTAAGGATCATACCTGCTTTATATACCCTGATCAGGCGATGGAGTTGTCTAATTAGGTTATATAGGGTATACAAATGAACTGAGTGAAATAGTTTTAGTAATCATGGGAATGAGTACTCCGGAGGAGTACTAGGATTAATACCGTAGGGTTACACTATACAGTGAATTCCGTGACAATATTAATGTTTCGTATTTGTGAATACCTACAATTCTATTCAGACTATTTAGATACTACCTACTCTACTTACTACCTAGTTTCTATTCTTCCTTTTTCCCTTGTGACTATAACTACCTAGGTAGGTATATACGTAACAGAATATCCTGATTAGAAACCCTACACACGATTGGAAATCCAATTGACATCTTTAAAATAGTCGACGATCGACCTCGAATCTAGGAGCTCTTGCTCCTTTCAATATAACTCCAACTATACCCGATCGTGATATCCCCTCTCGAATCCCGATCATGAATTCAATTGCACGAGATGATTCGCTCGTGTTTCTGCATGAATGTTGCGGAGTGGTATAGTATAGTATATAGTATGGTATAGTATGAAATGTATGTGGTACCAGAACATGAGCTTGCACACTTGCATGCGGACTGCATGATTCCCTCGAGCTGAAGCGGATGGTATGATATCGTGTGCGTCCTCGTTATGTCATGGTGATAAGGTTGTATGCTCTTAAGTTCCCTGCTTCTCTCGGGAGGGGTTGGGGCTTCCGGTGTGTGCTGCTGGGAATGCTCGGGATGGGGTTGGGGTGGTACTGGATGGGTTGGGGGGTGGGGCTGAGTAGATGGATTCATGTAAGGAGTGCGGGGACCTACAGGTTATTTTAACGGCGGGCGGGGCGACGGTTGGGGGTTGAGGGGATTGGAGAAGATTGAGGTGATTGATTTATTGATTGATTGATTGATTCATTGGATACTACCTTCTCGAGTAGGTGGTAGTTTGTTTGTTTCGGTTCGTTTATTCGGGCTGGTGCGGTAGGTAGGTTACGACTTCACACATAGTAGGTTTATAAATGTCATTTTGCATCCGATGGATGAATGGATGAATGAATGAATGGATGAATGAATGGAATAATGAATGAATGAATGAATGGATGAATGAATGAATGAATGAATGGATGAATGAATGAATGGATGAATGGATAGATGCAGTAAGCCGAACTTCACAACTAACAACTGGTGAAACGGAAGTATATGATTCCTTCACTCAGCATGCTCGTATACATTTTGTAGCTCAAAGACTAGGGAATGTGAGAAGCAAGCACATGGTTGCTACGTGGGCAATTGAAAACAAGAAGCCTCATGGCGACCCAAAGAGTGGCTTGTTTTTTTAGGTTCATGCCCAACGAGATGGTCATGGAGAATTAGACGGGCGGTTTTATGATGTGATTACGAACGAGGACGAGAGCATGAGGTTATTATTCTAGGGGAACAGGTAGTGATCTGATGTTTGGGTATTGATTGATACGTGAACATCAGTGATACTGTCTGTGGTGTTGTTGTTTTGAGGAATGGGAATAGATGGGTGGGTGGGTGTATCACTAGATATGTAGAGAGTATAGAACAGAACAGAACAGAACGCCTTATGGATATGTGTTGGGAAGTACGCCGACCTCCTACCTCCCACCTGGGTAATCGTACAATGCTATATTTGGTATTTGGTGAGTTGTAACACAGCTGGAGGTTAGAATGAATTTCCGTGGTCACAAAGTAAATTTGTGTTTCGTGTTGAGACTTGAGACTTGAGACTTGAAATTTGAGATTTGAAGGGAGAATGGGAATCGGTATTGTAGATGTATTGGTAACGATGAAAATATGATGAGTACGAGGTACTTTATAGTCCGTATGTATCTCGGTAGATATGGTATGAAATATCTGATGATATACAGAATCTTGTCATGATCATTATCATTGTCATTGTCTTCCATCGTGTCAGATCGGGGCGTTCAATATCAAAGTGAGGCAATAAAAGGCAACCAGTGGGGAAAGAGGATAACGGAGAAGAGGATACCAGTTCGCCATTCCAAAACAAAACTCTCCATAATGTTCCTGAAATTCCGGGTGTTGTCATCCACCTCCTCAATACGTACCTAGTTAATTCATATTTCCTTCTGCCACCTCATATATATTTCTTGGGGAAAATACACTCACACTCACACTCACACTCAAACTCAAACTCAACCACATCCAGATCCATATCCATCCATACCCATCCATATCCATATCCATATCCACACATCCACACATCCACACATCCACCCACCCATTCACTCACTGCATTGATGCATGTGCATCATACATATAGCAAATAATGATACGGTATTTTATCTTCTTGTTTTTCCACATTCCTTCAATTTGAATTGAGAGAAGAAAAAAAAGTGTACAGCCTTCTCTCTCTCTCTCTGCATTGCATCGCATCGCATCTTTTCATCCCTTTTTCTATCCTTAAAATATACATCGCTATCTATCTCTACAATTCCTTTGGGGGCATTGTGATACGAACAAGGCAGGGGAATAATTCAACAGGTTGACCTTGTTCACGACCTCCTCGAGAAAATTTCATTAAATATCGACGTCAATATCTCCGAATAGAATACTTTCTTCGCCTCTCATTCTTTGCTTGTATGCTTCTTTGAATTTAATGATACCCCTTCTTCTCAATACATTGAGAAAGCATCGTCTGTCTTCTTTTCTTCTTTTTACCGAATAACTGCTTGCTACACTCACTACGCAATCAATTCTACTCCGTACAGTCATCTTACAAGCCTACCGAATCATTGATGTGACCTTGTTGAAAACTTTATACTGTTATCCTTCTGGGGTGTTATTTCTTTTCCGCAGATGTAGGAATCGATTCTCTTTGCTCAACACTTCAATTCAAGTGTACTGACGTATATCCCAGTTTATGGGAAAATACTGGCTTAAATTTACGAGAAGGATGATGGCACAAACGGAGCCAGGTTCACCGGAATCGAACAATCATAGAATATCCTGGTTTCGAAAGCTCATATTTCCCAAGAAGGATGAAAATCACACACCGCCGAGTTCTCCACCGAATGAAGCTCAACCGCCAGGATTGGGTCGTCGACTTTCAAGAAGGGTTGTCCCTGGACTTCCAAGGGCAGGTACCTTTAAGAGACAACAATCGGAGCTGAGAGATAGATTAGAACCAGTCAAACCGAATGCTGATGAACGGCGGACAGCTTCAGTCGACCGTCGACTTAATAACTCGCATCGTTCGTCATCGGCTGCTATAAATCATGGACCAAGAACCAGCGCGCCTGAATTCCTAGAAAGAGTGGAAACGATCGATAAGACGTTTGACAATGTATCTGTGCGACCACCTACGCCAACCACAAATGAACATGAGAACGAGTCTCAAGAGTATTTAGATGTTTCAAAAGAGGAGAAACAGGGTTCACATATCGAAGAGCAATCGATATCTACAGATACGTTCGATGAAACAATACTTGAGGAGCTGGAAAAGAAATGGATTTTGAATCTGAGTATGCATTTTCGAGATAAATCTAAAAGAGAAAAA